AAAGAAAGAAAAAGAAAAAGATTCCAACGTTTCTGGATGGGGCTGCCTTGCCCTGAGTCCAGGGATACATCTAACACCTTCTCAGTCACTTTAAGTCTATTAGACTAAGTATAAAGTCACAGTTATCAGCAAGTGTACCCAAAAAAGGCAGAGTGAAGAAACTTTAGAGCTAGCTCTACCTGCTCTTTGTCTTCATCGTCAGAACTGTCCACATTGGCTCTTCCAGGGTCTTCCTCGGATCTCCGCTTAGCAGGGCTATTAAACACAGTAAAGCCAACCATTAGCTTGGCCAGACCTTAGACCTCCAGCAGGTGTGGAATGACTCACCTGCCTCCCACCCTCCATAGGGCAGATTCAGGGCATGGATGCCCTCTTCCCTCCAAGGAGAGGCTTTACCGTCAGGATATTAAAAGAGGCTTTAAATGTAATATTTCTTTGAGTGATATAGAGTATCTCCATTTTGCAAATCCTAAAAAATTATGAATCTAGACATTGATCATTGGCTGCTGGTATCACAGAAGGGACATTACATGCCTCTGAGAAGTCTACAGGGCTATCTATGAAGAAGTCTAAAGAAAAAAAAAAAAACCACCCCAAAACTGGAATTTGATCAAGCCTCTAGACCTAAATACCAGATTATAGGAAAACTGAAATAAGAGAACACATTAACCACCAAGGATACAAACAGATCTAGAAAATAGGACAAATGACCCATTTTTTCCTCCCCAAACAAATGGCAAGAAAATAAGAAGGAATCTAGTTGAAAGGCTTAAGGAACAAGTCAATCAAACACTGCGTTTGCTACACAGGGGAAATGTGAACACTGACTATGTATATGACCGTAAGGAACTGCTACATTTTATAAGGCATGAAAATAGTATGTTATGTCTTTTTAACTGTTAGCAATTATAGTAAAATATGAATCGAAAGTTTGTCAGAGAAAGGGACTTCTTTGCCTAGAAATCTACTGAAATATTTATGGATTTGTTTCCAATCCAGTTGGGGGGACTTGGGGGTACATGGAGCTGTAATCCACTTGGAGTAACCCAGTTGGAGTATATGTGGTATAAATGAAATAATGGCCAGGAGCTATTAACTGGTAGCACTAGGTGACAGGTTATTTAGGAATGCATTTTACTATCCTCAATTTTTTTTTTTTTTTAAGTTTCCTGTAGTTAAGAATAAAAATAAAAGAGGCATTCAGAAATGCCATTCATACAGGGATATAAATACAGCATAGGGAATACAGTCAAGTATCTATATCCTAGCCGAAACCAGTTTGGCTCAGTGGATGGAGCGTTGGTTTGCAGACTGAGGGGTCCCGGGTTCGATTCCAGTCAGGGGCATGTACATTGGTTGCAGGCACATCCCTGGTGGGGGGTACGCAAGGGGCAGCTGGTCGATGTTTCTTTCTCATCAATGTTTCTAGCTCTCTATCCCTCTCCCTTCCTCTCTGTAAAAAAAAATCTATAAAAAATATTTTTTAAGAAAGAATTTATATTCTATATATATAAAAGCCTAATATGCTAAGTGTCCCTCCAACTGTTTGATGAGTTGCTATGACATACAATGACCACCACGGGGAAAACACTCTGACTTGTAGATTAGCTTGCTGCTGGGATACAGCCAATCAGGACTGGGCAAGGCAGGCTGGACACGCCCTGGAGCCCTCCCGCGGTCCCTCCTTGGCCCTGATCGTGCACTGGTGGGGTCCTTCAACCTGGTCTGTGCCCTCTTGCAATCTGGGACCCCTCAGGGGATGTCAGAGAGCCGGTTTTGGCCCAATCCCCATGGGCCAGGCTGAAGGACCCATGCACCAGGCCTCTAGTACTGTACAGGCAGTCCTTTGGTTACGTCGGACTTGACATATGTCATTTCATGGTTACGTCGCCATCTCCCATTTATAAAAAAAAAATTCCACTGTTTTGATGTTACGTACATATGTACTTTATGTTTTTTATTATTTACCGTATTTACCACAAGTAAAGGTCAGGACTTGTTATTTCTTTTAAATTTTTTTACTGTTTCACTTCATTACTACTATGTGCTCCATGTGAGGGACGTAGGTGCTTATGTAGGTGGGTTCCGAGTTAAGGCAAAAATTGCATTGTAAGAACAGATCTCCGACATAACCCGAGGACCTACTGTAATAACTATGTATGGTGCCAGGTGGGTACTCAAAATATCAGGGGAATACTTTATAAAGTTAATTGTTTTAGTTTCAGGTGTACAGCATAATGGTTAGACAAAGTATTGAATGTAAAAAAAAATACTGTTCATAAATGTCTAATAAATAAAACTCCACAGGCAAACCTATGCAACATGGGAAGTCTAATTCCATATATGTTTTACAAAAGCAGTTAGCCCCTAGAAAAGGCAGCTGTCAATTCCTTATATACTGACCCCCTTGTGAAATGAGAGGTGATGCTGGTCTGCCTGGTAGATTGCCTTGTAATCCTGGGGCTAGGTGAGACTTCAGCTGTTTAAAGAAGAAAAAGCCACCATGAATAAAAAAGTTTACAGCAAAGGTGCAGTTCTTCAGCACCACCAAGTTAATGAAGAGGATTGTGTCCTTCCCGTACTCTAATCCACAGCTGTCTTGATAAAATTGGCAATCAGGCCCTAGCCAGTTTGGCTCAGTGGATAGAGCGTCGGCCTACGGACCAAAGGGCCCCAGATTCGATTAGTCAAGGGCATGTAACTTGGTTGCAGGTTGGGGTACATGCAGGAGGCAACCAATCGATGTGTCTCTCTCACATTAATGTTTCTCTTTGTCTTTCGCTTTTCCACTCCCTAAAAAATTAATGGAAAAATATCCTCCAGTGAGGATTAACAACAAAACAAACTGGCAATTAGCAGCTACCTGCTAGTTCTACACAGACTCTTACTGAGGGGCCAACCCTGAACCAGAAAAGGAGCCTGACCGTCAAAAAGTGAAGCCTGTTTCTCAGTGGTTAGAGTGACAGCGTGTTCACATAAGATTCGATTCCAAGTCAAGGGCGTCTGCCTGGGTTGCAGGTTTAATTCCTGGCCCCCAGCCGAGGCTTGTGCAGGAGGCAACCAGTCTATGTGTCTCTCACACAAATGTTTCTGTCCTTCCTTTCCTCCTTCTCTTCCCCTCAAAAGTACTGGAAAAAATATCCTTTGGTGAGGATTAAAAAAAAAAAAAAGTAGCCTGGCTGGTGTGGCTCAAAGGTTGAACATCAACCCAGGAACCAAGAGGTCACAGGTTTGATCACCAGTCAGAGCACATGCCAGAGTTGTGGGCTGGATGCCAAGTAGGGAGCGTGCAGGAGGCAGCCAATATCAGTGCTTCTCTGTCTATCTCCTTCCTCTATCTCTAAAAATCAGTATTAAAGAAAATATATTTTAAAATGTTGAAAAAATAAAAAATAAAAAGTGAAGTGGCTGAGAGCTGGACCTGAACTCATGTCCATGCTCTTTTGTATGTAAAGATTCTAGAAAAGTTACTTTGACTACAAACTGGAAAAGAGTCTAAAAATAAACGTTTAGCTTCAATAGGCATATTAACAGAAGTAACTTAAGTATTAGTAGTTCCTGTTACCTTATACGTTATAAGCTTAGCTATGTTTTGAGATCTCATGCCCAAGACTTGGTCAAACACAAAATTTAGATTAGCATATACCTAAGCTAGCTAGGAAGTATAATTTACTAGTTAGGGGGATACACACGAAACAAACCAGGAAGTACTGCCCAGGAGGACTATGGCTCCAGGTCCGACTGTCCCCTTCTTTATGTGATAACAGTTTCCATCAAGGTAAACGAGGTAAGGGCTTACACTTGGCCTCTCCATCAGACTTGCTTCTCCTGGGCGTGCAAGGTTTGGACATGGATTTGGGTGACTTGTTTTCCTCTGCCATTCTCACTCTGCGGTCCTCACCACTTGAATGACTCCCGTTTTCTAGACATCCATTCACTTCCCGACTGAAAGGATGAGCTCCGTTCTCCAAGGACAAATCTTTATTTAAAAGGGATTTGACTTTAGCCAGGTAGCCCTCCTATAGCAGGAAAGGATAATTTAAGTAGCAGTGAATGTAAACAAGTGGCAGTCAGAGAATAAGGAAACAAACGCATTTCCTTTATAACTATCGGGTGACAAGGGGAGCTGGGGATCACTCCGCCTCCCTGGTCACAGACAAGCCGCCTGAGAGGAGACATTTTCTGGATGCCGGGAAGCTGAAAACTTACCTCTGATAATTCTTCTTTATGTAATTTTGTTTCCAAATCACATAACTGATTCTTTACTTCTGTTTGCAGAAATTCGTGCAAGAGATTCAATTTCTCCTTCACACACTCCTAAGGGAAGGATACAGGTTTAGAAGTCCCCAAACTCCCAAGCTACTAACTAATGGACATTATTAATACACAATTAGGCTGCCTGGTCACATAACAATGACTGAATGGCAGGCAATGCTGACTGCCAAAAACCTAAGTATTCACCAAGACACTTTCGTGATGTTTCCATTAAGATCATATCACATCATGCCGAAACCGGTTTGGCTCAGTGGATAGAGCGTTGGTCTGCCGACTGAAGGGTCCCAGGTTCGATTCCGAACAAGGGCATGTACATTGGTTGCGGGCACATCCCTAGTAGAGGGTGTACAGGAGGCAGCTGGTCGATGATTCTCTCTCATTGATGTTTCTAACTATCTATCCCTCTCCCTTCCTCTCTGTGAAAAATCAATAAAATATATTTTTAAAAAAAAGAAAAAGATCATATCACATCATTTCCAGAATGAGGCAAGACAGACATACATGGCACATTAGAACAAAACTTCACTTCTGAAAACAGTGTGACCAAGACAAGTTATAGTTTAGAACTGATGGTTTGGAACTCAGATTGGTAAACTTGTCAACAAGTTACCGAAAGTCAATTAGTATTAGCAGTATTAACAAAGCACATTAAACAAGAAGAACATTTCCAATTTATCTCAAAACTTTATGGGGGGAAAACGATTCCACCTAAAATTTTTCAGGGGAGAGCACAAACAAGGTTGCCCGCTTCCACAAATTATGCAGTTGAGTTTCCCACATTTGGGGAAATTGCAAAGGCCAGCACATCCTGAGTGCAATGGGTAAGCCCCACCCTAGGAAAACCACCTTCCTGATCAAAGTATCTCCCTGCCAGATCAGTATCCCCTTAATCTTCTTACAAGCTACAGAGTGAGGTGTCAGTCACATTTGGTAGTAAAAATATTTTAAGATAGTGATTACCTTTTCGGTTAAGCTATCTCTTTCCAAATCTTTGAGCCTGGGGAAAGAAAAATAAGGGAAAAGGAAAAAACAATTGTTAAGCAACTTTGTTTACCTTAAGAATACCACAGTTTTAAAGAACTTTGGAAATAAATTTAACCTATTAATACATGAGTGTTACGGGGGAAAAACAGTATCACACCAACCCCATGTCTAGAATGCCTTTCTTTGATTGAAATGAGGTCCTCTTTTTGGGGTAGTTTCTTTTAATGATGGTGAGAGATGATACAGGAGTTTTATAACAATACAGGGTTGTAAAAAGTAAATGTGCCGTTGTAATACAACTAAATACAGTTATTATACAAGAATAAACTATTTCCTGTACTCACAACTGTAAACCTACTTTTTCCCACCAGTATATATAATTTAACAGGTATGGGAAAGGAAGCAGGTCACAGTTGAGTCCTTCTGTAAATTAAGGTCCTTCTGTAAATTTAATTCTGTAAATTAAAAAAAAGGTGGTCTTTCTCTAGTTGGGGTTGAGAAGAGCCAAGAAGAAGGTACACCTTCTTATCGTGGTCAGTGTCAGAATGAGAGAACCAGAGGCACGGGATGCTGTGGGGAACAGACAGCTGGCATTCCTAAAAGCCTTCTAATGAGGACAGTATGACACAGGGAGATTAAGGCAGCAGCGGTGCCCACAGCAGGGGGAAATGCTTGGCTGGCACCTGGCCCAAAAGCTCATCCTTTGGAATGTTTGTACCTAAACATTCAGAAGTGCAGAACTGTCAGGAGTCTGGCTGGAAAATCATGGTCTGATTTGATTACTGAAGAGGTATCTTGCTTCTTTGTGGGGAAGGGAGAAAAAGAATAAAGGAACAATAGACACCCAGGAAAGGTGGAGCAGCTGCTCCTGTCTGAGTGCTGACTGTGGGCAGTGGGGTGACAAAAGGTCTAACCATTAGGCGAGCAACAGTCAGTGGAGTGGCAGCACACTGGGCAGGGACAGGCCTCAACTGCTTCTGGGTCTTCCGGCCCAGCACCCACAGGCTGTTATCACTAGCCCCAAGGGCAGGAACAGAGCTTTTCCTGAGGGCAGTGCTATCAGCACAGCCAGGAATTTGAGCAATAGGCTTTGTTGGACCAACATCTTACAGTATCTGTTCCAAGTGGATGGGGACCCTGCTTCTAGTTTTGATCGGCACTCACATCCGTGAGTCCTTACTATAAGCCAGGCCCTATTCCAGGCAACGGGCTGGGTGATTGGACACAGGCATTGCCAGGTAGGGACCTCCTGACTTGGGCGGTCAGGAAAGGCCTTTCTGTAGCAGAACTCCCAGCAGACTGCAGCTACAGGGGTAGTACAGATGACCCTTAAACAACCTGAGTTTGAACTGTACAGGGCCACTTATATGTTTTTTTCAAAATACTATAACCATATTTTCCTTATGATTTTAATGTTTTTCTTTGCTCTAGCTTCCTTTACTGTAGGAATGTGGTATTTATATATATATATAAAAGCCTAAGTGGTCGTTATGGATGACTGGCCAGTAGCTATGACACACACTGACCAGCAGGGGGCAGATGCTCAACACAGGAGCTGCCCTTTGGTGGTCAGTGGGCTCCTATAGCCAATCTCCAGCAGCCAGCCAACCTCCCGTGGTCCAGCAGGCCCCCATTGACCCCAATCGCCAGTGCACAGTGTTGGCCTACGGACTGAAGATTTCCGGTTTCCGATTCCAATCAAGGGCACATGCCTGGGTTGCGGGCTCGATCCTCAGTAGGGGGTGTGCAGGAGGCAGCCAATCAATGATTCTCTCCCATCACTGATGTTGCTATCTCTCCCTTCCTCTCTGAAATCAATAAAAACAAAAACAAAAAAACAAAACAAAAAAAAACAGTAGGCTATTAGTTAAGTTTGTGGGAGTCAAAAGTTAAACTCAAGCCGAAACCGGGTTGGCTCAGCGGTAGAGCTTTGGTCTGCAGACTGAAAGGTCCCAGGTTCGATTCTGGTCAAGGGCATGTACATTGGTTGTAGGCACATCTCCGGTAGGGGGCGTGCAAGAGGCAGCTGGTCGATGTTTCTCATCAACGTTTCTAGCTCTCTCTCTCTGTAAAAAAAATATATATATATAAAAAAATAATAATAAAATAAAATGTTTTTTAAAAAAAAGTTAAACTCAAGCCCTAGACAGTGCTGCTCAGTGGTCAGTGCCAGCCCATGCACCAAAGGGTTGTGGGTTTAATTCCCAATCAAGGGCACCTACCTGGGTTGCAGGTTCGATCCCCCACCTGGGTACAGAGGGCAACTAACCAATGTATCTCTGTCACACTGATGTGTATGTCTCTCCCTCCTTTCCCTCTCCCTCCCTCTCTTCAGTGGAAAAATATTCTCGGGCCCAGCCAGTGTGGCTCAGTGGTTGAGCATCAACCTATGAAACATGAGGTCACTGTTTGATTCCAGGTCAGGGCACATGCCTAGGTTTGGGGCTCAATCTCCAGGAAGGGCGTGCAGGAGGCAGCCAATCAATGATTCTCATCACTGATGTTTCTATCTCTTTCTCCCTTTCCCTTCCTCTCTGAAATCATTAAAATATATATGTATTTTTAAAAATACAGTATCAGAAAGAGATAGTGGGTAGAGAAGGAAGAGGATATAGGGGGGATAAATGGTGATGGGAAATAAAAGAAAATGAATATAGTATCAGAAATTCAGAACTCTTTGGTGGGGAAATAAGGAGAGTATACCCAGGCTACAAGTTTTAGAAATGATGTTTCAGTGAACAGCAGCTACCCAGATGGCTATTCAGCAGCTAGAAATTAAAACTGGCTCTCCTTCAACAAAAACAAACAAACAAATAACTAAAAATAAAACTGGCTCTCCTATAAGCATCAAGACTGGAGGTATCGATCTCCAGCAGGCATCCCAATTGCTGAAAGCAGAAGTCCCACAACCAGAAGAGATAAGGGGCTAAGAATGAAAGAAAGGGGATGGGGAAGTGGGGTGATCAGGGAAGGAAGAGGCTCCCTGGTAGTAGACAGCAACGCAAACACCAAGGATACAAAGAATTAAGAAGCAGTACGCTGAGTTGAAAGAAGACGGAATGCCACCTCAACCCTAAAGAAAAGGATGCCTACGCAAGAGAAGGAGCGGACAGCTGGCACAAAAGCTGAGGTGGCAGTTGAAGGGCAAGTCCAGACCGTGCTACATAAGCCAGGAAAAAAGGAAGTTTGGAACAAGCTGGCATATATCTCATCTCTATACAATGCTACTACCTGGCTCGTAGAAGAGGAGCATGTTAGTGCTTTAAATTATGTTCTTCTAATGGAAATAAATTATACAGCTAACCGCCAAAACCGGTTTGGCTCAGTGGATAGAGCGTCAGCCTGTGGATTGAAGGGTCCCAGGTTTGATTCCGGTCAGGGGCATGTACATTGGTTGCAGGCACATCCCCAGTGTGTGTGTGTGTGTGTGGGGGGGGGGGGGATGCAGGAGGCAGCTGGTCGATGTTTCTCTCTCATCGACGTTTCTAACTCTCTATCCCTCTCTTCCTCTCTGTAAAAAAAAAAAAAATCAATAAAATATAGTTTTTAAAAATTATACAGCTAACCACGTGATAAGCACTGTAGGTTTCTGTGCCGGTGCTGCTCTACCATGTCTACACCTGTCAGCTCAGTCAGTCTTCATAATGACGTAGAACAGGCACCTCCACCCCACTTTACAGATAAAGCACCAAGAGGTTAGCCACACAGCTGCAAGTGGCGGGGTGGGATTTGAACCCCAGCGGCCTGCACCTAGAATCCTACTGCAGGGAGAACTAGAAGAGGTTAAGTCAGTTTTCCCCTATCCAATACCTACTCAGCAGGAGCCATGAAACTGGTTCAGAACTGCTAAGACCAGGCTTAATCTAATCTCAGAATGACTAGCAGATAAGAAAGCTGTCATAATCACAAAGGCTAATTGGAGTTGCGCCAAGGTTGCTAGAATCATGTGTAAACCCAGGCTCCATTAAAGGGGAGAGTTTGACGTGCAAGCATTTGAGAGCTTACTGTCCACCAAACCGCAGAAACAAGGAATAAGGAAAACATGCTCCGACAATAAATCAACTCCAGAGTTGCAAGGCAGCATGCGAGGTGCACGAACTCCCTTCTCCAGAGTGGGGGAAGGCGATTGTCTTTCTGGATACAATCTTAAGAATAAAGGGATGAAGCCCGGCCTCACATTGCTCACTCTGCATGGTCTCAAGCCCAGGGAATCTAAAAGGCGGCCTGTGTGACCTGTGAGGACACACGATGACTCAGACAAGAGGACAGGAATTCTGGACTTCAGGCCAAGTGTACCAGACAGGGGGGGCGAGGGGAGCAGAGAGGAAAGGGGCAGGAAAACCACTGGGTCAAACTTATTTGTAAGAGGATGAGTTTCCACGTACAGAAAACAGACCTAAGTGGCAACAGGAAGACAAATGGAAGACTATCACTTTTCTATACAAGTGATAGCAGTTTGGGTCGAGTAAGAAAAATCAAATGGAAAAAATGTGGCTTGTTCTGAAAAGCGTGCTTTTTAGAAGACTTAAGGTAATATTTCCTATTTTAATATTTTTTTATTGACTTCAGAAAGAAGGGAGAGGGAGTTAGAAACATCAATAATGAGAATTACTGATCTCCTGCCACCTCCCCTCCCCCCACTGGGGATCAAGCCCACAACTTAGGCATGTGCCCTTGACTGGAATCGAACCTGGGACCCTTCAGTCCACAGGCTGACACTATCCACTAAGGCTAACCAGCTAGGGCAGGTAAGTAATGATTCAATAAAGAAGTTAAAGACCAATCATTGAAAATACTTTGTCGTTTCTTTACATATGTAATGGAACTAACTATATGCGCATTTTAAAAGAAGCTGCCATAGAAACACAAGTTAGAAAAAAAAAAAAAAAAACCCCGAC